CACAACGTCAATGTCGCGCTCATGGCTTACCAGGCCTTTCATCCTCCCGGGGTCGGCTAATTGATATCAGACTTGTCTGGGAGAACAACCAGCACTGATTCGATACATCGGTTGGCCTTCGTGAGTCATTATATAGGCCTAGTATGCATTAATGGCCTCAAATGAGGCTAAAAATTGAGGATGAATGCAGGGCGCATCCCTCAGGGATCGATCGACGCTGAGAGCTTTGTTTTCCATTTTTTTAAATGAATATATCTGTACCATTCAACCACAGTGATGCTGAGATACGAGAAAACTTTGAAACCGTAGACGGGCCACGTACCGTCAGTTAAAGTAACCGGGGCTGACTGCTGTCCACCACATCAACCCTTGCTTTGTCCTTTTATAATCGAGAACTCTATGAATCAAATGGTCATACATATATTCCTTACAAAATGTGTTTAGTGCAACATCTTGAAGAGGACGGCTGGAGACTTGGTTACGATGTCGAACTAAATGGCTTTGGATTTGTGGAGGTTACACAAGGAAGTGATAGCGAAGATGAGTCCAGTGAGTACTAAGTCTGATGAACTTCTATACTCGTTCCAGTGAAATGTCAGGTTCCATCGCGCGCGTGTGTCGCAGTGGTTAAAGGTGCCTTGCGGCAGAAATGTGGTGAATGATTCGATCCCGCGCCTAAGGTCCATCAGGCTTTACATCCTCCGATTTGGGAGGATAATAGCCCTGACTTAATACATCAGTAGGCTAACAAGGGGCATTGTATAAATCAGACAGACATCCAGTCACCGCGAACGATGTTGATGATATTAGATTTTTGGCGCATCTCAGGCATTGATCAACGCCGAGAGGTTTATTTTTTCCATTCAGTACAGAGCGATAGAAGGTTAAAGCTTTCGGCGTTGATCAATCCCTTGGGTATGAGCAGTGTTTTCGTATTCATTTAGCATCATCAGAGATGTCTGGGTGTCCATCTGGCCTGTACAATGACTCGCCTTAGCCTACTGACGTAACAAGTCGGTAGTGCTTTCTCAGTGGAAGAATTGTGCACCCTAAGCACGCGATCGTATCATTGGCCATCTACTGGTCGGTCACGTGTCTGTCGCAGAACCTAAATAATAACTGTCCCATGCACGCTCTGTTCATTGCAGAGCAGTATATTAGTCATGAGCGTCTGTATCAAGAGTAAGACGCTGACATGGAATCTATGTGAATTAATATTTCTGATAAAGTTGGGAATAACTTTGTATTTTATGCAGCGGCGAAGTAGTTAGGTGTTTTGCCAAATTAAAAGATTTTCGTCCTAATAAAATTGTGCCTCACCTGCATCACCTATTCGTCCCGTTGATCGTCGAGTGACTCGAGCGGACACTAGCAACACTTCCATTTTCTCTATCGCGCACAGGGTTAACCCAGTGGGTCCTCGTTCTAGATTTTGCTGAGCATTACATCTTCTCTTAGACTTCTCATGAGAAGTCGAACCATCGGATCGGTGGTCTTCCTGTGGGACGCTTGATATCACGAAGAATCCAGTGGGTGACGGCTCTTGTTCGTCGGTTGTCGTTCAAGTGCAGTACGTGTCCGGCGTCCTTATCTTCGATATCCTGGCGTGTAAAACCTCACAAGCAAAAATTTCTCGGCGATATGTTTCGTAATGGGCCAGAGACCGGCTCTCACTGAACCTGGGCATGGAAAGTCAAACTGTTATACGAACTGTCCCATTCATAATTAGTAGACTCCCTTCCAAAATTTGACTACTCGGGGATAGTCTGAACTTTATCGTGGACTTTAGCTTTCGATTCCATCGTGAATAGTTAGCCCTTTCCGATCCGTGGGCCCACCTCCTCCGCACTCCAGCGTGGCAACGCTGAACGGTTTGCTTCACCTTTCAGCATTTCTAACCCTCAGCGTGGGAATACATTAAATACATCGTTGTACCGTTTCCTCTGTATTAATGCTGTTATCTTCTTATGTTATGTCATAAGTAAATATATCATATTTTTATAGGTAGGAGGGTAACAACAAAAATACAGTGAAGTGATATAATCTGATAAGGATATGCATGTTTTGAGCTGATAGGTCTAGTGGTACACAGACGCCTGTTTCGTCCTATTGGGATCATCAGTACCTCCGTATCCCGGTTCAGCCGATCCCCTGTGGTTCATTAATTCTCCATAAGGAATCGACGCCGAGTATTAACTCACCCCAAGTCAGGTGTTGTACTTACCTGACATCGTGGTGATCAACAGTCGAGCGTGTGGCTGTTAAAATGAAACATACCTCCTAACTACCTTTTACCAGATTTGGCGTCATTCAATACTCAACGTCGATTCCTTATAGAGGATTATTTAACGTCAGGGGATCGGCTGAACTGAGGGAGAGTGGTACTGATGACTCCCAATAGGACGAAAAATGCTTATATACCGCTAGACCTATCAGCTCAAAACATGCATATCCTTATCACATTATATCATTTCGAGGGGGTCATGGAGAAAGCGGTGATAGAAGAGACCGTGAAATGATACAATAATGTATTCAATACGTTTCCATTTTGGAGGTTGGAGGTGCAAAAGAAGTGGGTCCACGGTCTCGAAAGGGTTAGCGAGGTAAGTTTCCAGAGAACATCTTACTACTGAGTCATTTATTGAGGGCACAATGGTGTTCTCACTGAATCAGAGTGAGTTTGCCCATCAGTGAGAATTTTTTCGGATCACCAAGTTTTTCATTGTTAATCCCTTATTAGGGTCCCATGACAGAGTGGTTAGTGATGCTCGCTGCGGTTCTACGCGAGGTTCTTCCCTTGCCCAACTTTTTCGAGCAATCAATAACGGATTCCCTACGGAATATTCCTGTGGCTATCCTCAAGGTCGCAAAAGATGCGCTCGACTAGTATTGCACGACGTTTATGAAGAAAACTAATCTCAATTAAGCGATGAACGCGTGAAGTTGAATCAAATTCTAGAAGTACTGTTACTCAGACACTAATCTATCTGTGATAAGCGTCATATTAGGAGGGTAAAAACTCCCTTATTTGAATATGACATGATTTCTTGTAATTCTTTCAGATTCTGAAGCTGAGTGTGGAGTTGACGATGTAGAACTCACTCAGCATCCTGGCTATCGTTCTCTTTCGCAGTTGGAGGAATCATCTGCTGATTATGTGCCGAGCAGCGATGGTCCCGATGAGTCTGTTAGTTCCTTAGGGCGTATAAGATGTCTGTTTTGTTATCTTTTTGCGTCCCACGTGTCGCCTAGTTCATTGTTGTTTTAGGTGACAGAGAATGAATTTCTAGTGAGGGCAACGGAATAGATGCGAAAGATGTACCTACTGAGGAGGGGGATAACTTCAACGGAGAGATTGGAGAGGCATGTTTTTCTTTTAGAGCCGGTTTCCTTTCATTCAGACTTCCCAGAGATTTTCAAAGTTGAGTTTCAAATATGATTGAACTAATTGTATCAATTGTTATTCCAGATAACACCTAGCACTTGTGAAACGATCTCTGATGAGTTGATGATCCCTCATCAACCTATTGACATCGCTCTAGACGATGGTGAGTTCTTTATTGTTCTTCATTCTTGTCCTCTAACCAACAAATGTTATCATTTCCAGAGAAGATTGAGGTAATTCGTGCTGCTATGTCTACGTTCACGCTTCCCGCACCACCACAATGGCCTTTTCTGAATAATACGCAACTGAGTGATATTGTAAAGGAGAAATTGAGAAACTGAAAAAGTTACAGTGGTATTCTCTTAACAGAATACAATTAAGTAGCATCGTATTTAGAAGTCAAAAAGGTGATGAGGTAAAGGTATGTTGTGATCGATGGATTCTTTCGTATTTTCTCCGTAGTAATTGACTTTGTAGTAGGTGGTGATGTTCAAAAAGTCAGATGTTAAAACCGACAGACAGTTTGTATCAAATCATTTCCGTTCCTTTTTTTATGTCAAAACGCTTTTGACTCTTTGAAGAGCACGAGTGTTTTCTTAGCTTTTTCATCGAATGATTGACAGTCATTCGATAGTTAAAGAAACAACGATTTCAACTATATACTTTGTTCCTAAAAACACCTCTTTGATGTGGCGATGAATTTATATCATGCACTATTTTCTTTATTCGCTCGCCTGGGGTCTTCGAGTCAATTCTCTCGAGACTTTTAGTGATCATTTGATAGATTCAATCACGTTGATTCTAGAACAACGTTTAGTTTCCCAGATGATTTCCACTTAGTGTTGTGAGAGCGAAAAGAAGAATGCGTCTCACCCTAGCGTTTGTATTGTACACGTACATATGTATATTTATGTACCGAAAGATTATGACTACGTAGAGAGAATCGTGGAATATCACAACAACATGACAGACCTGGAGGTATCTCAAAAACAAAGAAATGAACCCAAATTGATTCACGAGAATTGCGTACCGCTTGTGGATTCGCGCCGCGCGAGCTGACGTCTCCAAAGAGTTAAATGGCTGACTTTTCGTTCTCCTGGTAATCATTTTTTGAGCCAAGCATATCAGTGTTCTTTTAAAGAGGCTGACTTATAGAGCCCGATAAACGTATTTCGATCTTACGATCTCGTCAGAAAGGGTAACTGCCCGACTCGCAAGATCGAAACACATGTATCGGGCTCTATAAGCCAGCCCTCTTTAAAAGACCACTGACATGCGTGGCTCGAAAAATATTAACCAGGCATATTGACTTTTGAGCTGTGGTCTTAAGAAAACACTCGCGACGAAAGATATGTGCTCGTTCTCCTTCGAATATTTTCACTGTGTTTTTCTGAAGATGATGTCACAATTTCCTTATGAGTACTATGTCCGTTCTTCGCTTGTTTCTGTTCCGTTGAGACCTCATTTTTAGTTCCTCATATGAGGAAATTGTAGGATATTCATCTGATTGGTAATGTCTACGTTTTTCAGTCTAAATTGTTTTTATTTTAACTGCCACTTGCAGTGGTTTAAGATTATACTATCCCCAATATGTGGAGTACTGTGCAAAAACGTTTGCGTCAGCCGGATTCGAAACCAGATCTCACTGTTTCGGGGAGCGTATATTAACCATTGCACTACCGACGCTTTCTTATACATTTCATATCTAATATATATCTTATATATACATATATCTTATATTTACAGTTCTTATAGCGTCGGTAGTGCAATGGTTGGCATACGCTTCCGGAAAGAGTAAGATCTGGGTTCGAATCCCGGCTGACGCAAACGTTTTTGCATAGTACTCCACATATTGGGTCTACGTTTTTATTTCATGCTTAAGCAGGTCGGACTTTTTTCTGGAGTAGTTGAAATCCCTGAAGAGTTTCTTTGCCTATTTCTTTCCCGATGTCATTGTATTTCATTCTGTCTCTTAATGTAGCAATGAAGGATGCTGAATTCATCTCTATAAATGATCACGGAGTCGAATTTCTGGCTAGTATCTAATGTAATCTAGAAGAATTCTTCATTTTACTGTTCCTTCAGCAGAATTATGATATCATAACTATATATCCAGAGATGGTGAATGATGAGCGACGTTGTGGACCTCAGGAGGAGTTTAACCCCACGTGTGGCCCCTGGGATGTGTGGGACGCGGGTTGAACTCCCGCCTGAGGTCGAAGATTTTTCTCATCACCCAGCATCTTTGAATACTTGTTGTGATTGGAGTATAAATAATGGTCATTTGACTTTTAAGGAGCAATATTTTCTGAGGGAAACTCTTTTGCTTGATGAAGATTTCACTAAACTGAGTTTAAGGAATAAAGATCTCAGTACTGAGCCTCCCTTCTGGAAAGGGTGTCTTTTTCGTCTACGAGCAGGGATCATTGAAGAGGAAATTTTTTGCTGTATAAAAACTCTCCGCTAGGAATATCAGTATTCAGTTGAAACCTTGAATCTTGAAGATTTCAAAGGTTTGTTTTCTTGTCATTTTATGTACTTTTTCTTCATTTTTATTCGTTAATTTTTTAAGGAATACCTTCTAAAGCGCTGTGGCGGTAGAAATAATTTGTGATTCCATGTTCCACACTTGTCACCGCGTTTTAGCGCATTGCTGTCGCAGGACGGAGCGTTTCACTTGAACCATTAGTAAGCATTCGATAGTATAAATCTCGTAGATTCTAAAAGTGTATTTGTTTCTTAGAAAGGTTTTTTTTTTGTATTTCCATTGCAGGAAAAGTAATATTGTGTTCCACACCCGTCGCGCGGTGTCATACACTTCACGTTATCCATTTGAAGGTTTTTTCCTTTGGTTACATATAGATTTTCCTAGGTTCTATTGTATAGGAGTTGTAGAAAAAATTTGTTTCATCGTTGTGTAGTTAACAGAGACATATGTTTTCTCTAGACTTTTGTTTAAGGCGAAGAAGAAACTGTAATTTAATTGTGAAACTCAATCAAACATTCCCTGCTTCAGTTCAGTAAAGCAGTTTTTCTTCTAACAAGCGAATTATTGGAATCAGCGAGATTTACGTTATCGAATGATTACTAGTAGTCTAAGGCAAAAGCTCGGTTTTGCACAAAAAAGCACTAAGTGAGACAAAATTCGATTTTTCCTGGTACAGCGCTGTTAAAAAACCTTTTCATTAAATCGAGGACACTTTGAAATCTCTGAGATTTACGCTGTGGAATGATGACTAAAAGACTAAGGGAAGATCTCTGTCGTGCGAGAGCGATGCGCAAAAACGCAGATTGCATGTCAAACGCAATTTAATTCTCACTGCTACAGCGCTATAGACAGAGCTATGAAACTCGCTGGACAGGAACTTTTCATAGGAGTGATAGTAACCTTTCAAAAGCTGAGACTTATGGCTACAGTCTCACGCCGCCGGTTTTTCAAAACACTCTTTTATAAGTCTATCAAATCCACAGGAAACTGCGTATCAGACGCGCACATTTTCTTGCCGGACAGAGCTTCTTCTTCAAATCTTTTTGCAATAGTTCGATGCCGTAATCGTTGCTGATTCCAGTGCTGTGTTTTTATCCTGAAAAGACCGTACATCTGCAACGCAGCAGGTGAAATAAGTTGAATTTACATGTGTAACCAAGGAGACCTTTGGCCAATTCGTGTGCGCTGGCTGAGGCGGCCACGCGCCGCTGACGCGATATTGTGTCAGCGGTCCAAAATTGATCGGTCGTCACCTTAACGCACGTCGTCACCTCAGCCAGCCGCACGTGAATTGGCCGAAGACCCTCTTGATCGCACATGTGGATCCAACTTAATTCAGATGCTGCGTTGCATAGTTACGGTCTTTTCAGGATTTAAGCGCAGCATTGGAATCAGCAACGATTGCGCTATCGAATGATTACTAATTGTCCAAAGAAAGAGCTCTGTCCGGTGAGGATTATGCGGTTCTGCAACGCGCGAAATTTCCTTCTGTAGCGACTTCAAAGGAAGGCTTTTTCGAGAACCGGCGTCATAGGGCTGAAGTCTCAGCTTCCGAATGGTTGCTGACATTCATATGAAAAGTTCCTGTCCAGCGAATGAGATTTGTTTTTCATTTGTCCCCTCTTAATCGAATACAACCCAAATACATTTTCTAAATCACCTAGATTTGAACTTTCAAATGATTGCTTTGGTCTAATTCAAAGTCTTTACCTAGTAAGGAAGGCCCTTTTAAATACCCTTTTCGATGAGAGAAAAGTGCCGAATAATGACAAGCAATTCTCGTCAATCTATGGATATATTACAGTCTACAGCCTCAAGAAGATGTCTCGAAAACGAGAACATGCCGTTGACTGTGAGATGGGAAAGCGTGGTGTATGGCTGGTGAAGGTGAAGTTTGTCGATGATATCTTTTCTCACTTTTTTTTGTGCTTTATAAGCTCATATCTCTTTCTAGGTTTCTTATCTTTTACATTTCTTATAGGTTCCCCGTTATCTATCTGATCTTTGGGAAGCAAACGCAGGGACTGACGTTGGTCGATTAGTAATACCGCAGAGTGCCAATGGGAAAGGAGATGTAGGTATTTGGTGGAGTCTGTCCACTTTTGAGTATTTTTTGTGCTTCAACACTTTTCGTGCTTCGGGTGTTTTGTTCTAAGAAAAAAGTCGTAAGTGCAGTGGAGATCTGCTGCTCTGTCAACACCTTGAGCAGTTCCACCTGACGCAAAAAGTTTTACCCACCATTCTACATCGTTGGGTACATTGTAACATCATACCACCGCCAGAGGCGATTAATTAACTTGAATCCATATGATCGACTGTTTTTGAACCTCGTGATAAACACTCAAAATAATTCCAAAAAAGAATGTCTAAAGCTTAAACGAGATTGGTACGCCAGAGCCATGCACCGGTGTTTCGGAGGTTTCGTCCTCCTCGTCAGTGACCCCCGCCCCACATTAAGCCCTGCATTGTAACAAGGAGGGAGGCTTGAGGCTTGAATGCTGTCTGATAATCAGTACCCAATATCTGTCAGCATAAGTGGGTTCAATGTCGATAGCGACTACCCACGTCAGACCGTTGACGGTTGGTCCGCATAGAGATAGACGCGTTGTAGCGTAGAAAAAGAGTGGTGTCAAAACGGACGTCGGTAGTGCAACGGTTCAGCACGCGCCCACGGATAGGGTGAAATGTGGTTTTTAATCCCACATGGCGCTAAAAGTTTTTGCACACCATCCTACATCATTGAGTACTTTGAAGTTTCTTTTGCTCATACATGTCTTCTGTACCTCTTTGGAACTTCACCGTTGAAGAAATCTCAACGCTTTTAGAATACATTAGTGCTCCAATATGTTCTTTATGCGCTCATATGCTTTTGGTGCACATCTACTCTTTTGTGGCAAGAAAAACCCACGCAGCTACTTCATGGAAATAATCGAAAATTTTGGTTGTGAGGGTGAAAATGAGGAAATAGTATTTGTTGGAAGTTGGTTAGCAGGAATTGTAGTGGAAATAAGGGAAAAGACCAATTTGAAGTACTGAGTTTTGCAATGTATTTACACGTTGAACATTTATACAAATAATTCTGCCGTCGACTTTTCTCTAACTTCGGGATCATTAATCAATCACATATTATTTCTTCACTTACTTACTACTCATGCCCGATGGTGCGTGGAGGAAAGTTTTAGTGATGCGGCATCCAAGATTAGTGAAGTTGGGGGCGATGATATAGATGCCGAAAAGACGGCTAAGAAGTGGTTCGCGAAGTTCAAAGCTGGAGAGAACTGTTTGTAAGATCGGTAGCGCTCTGGCCGTCCATAGGAAGCTCCATTAATCTTACACGCAGCTTCACTAGTGCGTTACTAGCGCCATTCGTGCATGACTAGCTATCGAATTTGTTCCTAAGACTGATCCATCTTGAAGCATACATAGGCAGTTTTTACACTGAAATGTTCACTAGAAAGTATACGTTTGAACGGTACCAAAATCATGTTTTTTTTTCAGTGCAAAATCATATCAAGAAACTGAGATCGCACCAACTTTTTACACAGCTTATTACAATTCGCAAGGCTCTTTTTTCGAGTCCATACATATTCGCACCCTTGTGACGTTTCCTGGATTGTATTTTAATAAAGTTACAAAGCATATATTTGTAAAAGAATGCACACAAGAAGGCATTTTGATTAGTCCAGTTTTGTTATGATAAACTCAAGCGGCAATTCAGGTGAAGCTGAAGTCTCGCCCCGGTCTTGTTATCCCGCAATCCGTGTCATCGGCCATGAAAGGTAGATCATCAGTGATTGTTCGGTCCTGTTAATCTTATACTTTGTCAGTGCAATCAAATCTTGCGTTCATAAATTAGACAACAACTATACGGATTTCATATTTAGGCCCAGTGCAAATGCCTGATGAACATTCGTTTATTCTTGGTGATGTCCTTAATCAAACGATGGCTGTGCTTGCCGAAGACAAGTCTGGTTTGAATGAGGATATGGATTTTAGGTATTTGTTCAATCACTTTGAAAAACTATCGTACTGCACTATCACCGCTTCTTCTCTTTGTCGTAGTCATTAGATTATGCCCAGACGTGTATGCCGCCAGTGGTTAGAGGTGCCATGCGACACACTTCTTGTCGATGATTCGAGCCGACGCCCAAGGCTCACCAAGCCTTCCATCCCTCCGGGGTTGTGAGTTGAAACGAGA